CTCACGTCTGTGAGTCAGAAAAGAGTGGAGGCCTGCTGTGCCCAGTAGCTCTTTCCTATGCGCTCTGGTGCCAACCCTGTCCACCTGTCGCATACCATCCTGGGAGCACTTTTTATGCTGCGAAGCTGCTGTTCCCAACTTTGGAGAGCCTGTTACATGGTTTTTCTTTTGTCTGGAATCCTCTTGATTTCTTAGGCTCCTGCTTTCACCCAGACTTAACCAGGCTGTAGCTGAAACACCTGCTTCCAATGTCAGAGGTCTCGAGCCTCTTGTCCACCTTCCACCCCCACTCCCACCTTGGAGAGAGGTTCTGACAGCATGCTTGGAGTAATTCGATCAGAAAACCTTCTTCAGAGAGAAGTGATGAGTCAAGATTTGGGTAGGAGAAAGAAGGCCTGTAGGTGGGGGGACCAAATAGCAATCCCCCAAGGAAAGAGCTGGCCATGCCAACATCACCCAGGAACGAATGTGAGTGAGCCTTAGACCCCTTTCTGATTCTCACTCTGTAGCTATGGGGAGAGGGCTTCAGGAACCCAAAAATTAGAGGGGCATCCCAGATCAATTCTGGTGATCGGACTGAAGAACAAGGAAAGACGGGGCAGGGGGAGACTGTGAGCCCTGAGTGAGCAGTGCAGCGTGGCCTGAGGGGGATGTGGTGGCCTCACGGTCCGACTGTGGCTGACTGGCTCCGAGGGGGATGTCCCCCATTCATTCCGTATCAGTTTCCTGGCAGGTGCTGGGCCTTTCCTCACCTCTCTGCCAACCGACCCTCTACTACCCCTGCCCTACGCAAGCCCAGATATAAATATAAGAGCATTTTCCATGGGCCGGCACAGAAGGGCAAACATTTGACTTTATTTTAGGCCTGTGAAATTCCCTTCCTTCATACTCAACAGGTGCATTGCCTCATTTAGATATCGGGGCCCAGAAATAGAACACAATTTACAATATAGCTTCCTTCAGGCATCTGGATGCTATTAAAAAAAAAAAAAAAAAAAGCCTCCTGTGAGCTGGTCAGGCGCAGCAGCACAAACACTGGCTGGAGCTTTTGCCTTTGCCAGGAGAGGTGCCCACCCCCGGGAAGCTTGCCCCTGCTTGGCAGAGGGGCCAGGCGCCTTGGGAGACAGTGTGGGAGAAGAGTCAACCTGTTAGGGCACAGGCCTGTTCTCACCCCTGCAGGACCCCCTGACTGGATGATGGAGAGGAGGAGGGGGACAGGCACAGACATTAGAGAGGGTCTAGGTGTTGGGCAGAGAGACTCAGACCTTTGGAGGTGTTTCTAGTAACTCTGTCAGTTAGAATCCACTGTTGCCCTACACCCTTCGTGGACTGGGGGAGAAGAGAATTTGGCTTGCCTTAAGCCCAAGCACAGGGACCCACCTGGCATCTCTTGGCAAATCATGTGTTCTCATCAGCTGTTGGTGTGTGTGTGTAGGGGGGTGAATGGTGTCCCCCCAATTTATATTTTGAAGTTGTAACCCCCAGAACCTCAGAATGTGGCTTTATTTGGAAATAGAGTCACTGTAGATGTAGTCAAGATCATTAGGATGGGTCCAAAGCCAATATGACTGATTTCATTAGAAAAAGGGGAAATTTGGACACAGAGGTACACAGGGAGAACGCCATCTGAAGATGGAGGCAGAGATGGGGTGATGCTTCTACAAGCCAAGGAACATCAAAGAGTGTCAGCAAATCAGCAGGAGCTGGGAGAGGGGCCCGGACAGATTCCCCCTCACAACCCCAGAAGGAACCAGCCCTGCCCACACCTTGGTCTAGGACTTCTGGCCTCCAGAGCGGTGAGAGAGTACATTTCTGCGGTTTAAGTCACCCAGCGCGT